CCCAGCGGTTTGTCATCCTGTCCTTCGCCGACCTGAAGCGCAACAAGTTCCACTACATCTCGGCGTTCGTGGCCTTCCTGCCGGCCAGCCCGTTCACTGTGGCCCCCTCCCCCCCCGAGGCCGAGGCCCCCTTCGCCAGTGTGGATGACGTCTTCCCCGAGCACTCGGTGCGCCGCCTCCGGCCCATTGCCTCCCAACCTGCACCCTGGCACTGATGCGCCCCCCCCCCCCCCCACCGTAGCTCGGCAAGGCCTACTTCCGGTACCTGGCCGCGGCCGAGACCGGGCCCGACGATCGCGCTGCCTTCCTGGTGGACACCGGCGCCGACGGCACCACCGTCGAGGGCATCCGGCCGCTGTCGGCGCTGGCCGATGCGGCTGCCTCCGGCAAGGTGCGCGCACACACCCAGACCTCGAGGGCCCGCCGACCGCCCCCCGCCCCCCGCCTTGCCGCCGCCACTGTCTGACGTGATGTGTGACTGCACTCGCCATCTGCGCCCCCCCCCCCCCCCATAGCCCTTGACCATCGGCCTGGTGGACGCCGTCTCCCCGGAGGCTGGGTCCTGCGGCTGGCCGCTGCGCAATCTGCTGACCGCCGTGCAGGTGTGGGCACCGGGCGTGCGCCACGTGCGCGTGGTCTCCCTTCGCGGCCGGGCCGTGTCCAACATGCTGGCCCTGACCCAGGACCAGGGCCCCGATGGGGTGACCGGCGAGCCGGACGACTTCGGCCTGGCCGATTCGGTGGTCCTGCAGGTTGGCCTGCCGGCCGGCAACTTTGCCAGCCCGACGGCCGACCAGGCCCCCAAGGCCACCGGCTGGTTCCGCAAGGCGGCCGGCAAGAAGCCCACCGTCCGCACGCTGGATCTCTCGGCCCTGATGGACCCCTTGAAGTGCGCCTCCCTGCTCGGTTGCCCCGGGTCCCTGTGGCCTTTTTCTCACCCACCTGGCCCGGTATGCTGCCCCGTGCGCTCCTCTTGGCTTCTCCGGTCCCGGCTCCGTTCGCAGCATCGCCGACACGGCGGCGCGGCTGAACCTGAGCCTCATGCGCTGGCGCCTGGTGCCGGACCTCCAGCTGGAGGCCATTGCCAATGCCCGATGCCTGGTCATCGGCTCCGGCACCCTCGGCTGCATTGTCGCCCGGAACCTGGTTGTACGTTGCACACGGCGCCCTGTTCGCCCTCCTCCCTGCCCATGTCCCCGGGCCGCCTAACTGACCAGTGCCACTCGGCCCATTTTCCGCGCGCGTACGCGCATGCACATCTGCCTCTCCAAAGGGCTGGGGCGTCAAGAGCATCACCATGGTCGATCAGTCGACCGTCAGCTACTCCAACCCGGTGCGGCAGAGCCTGTTCGAGTTCGCTGACTGCGCCAATGGCGGCAAGCCCAAGGCCGAGGCCGCGGTGGCCGCGCTCAAGCGCATTCACCCGCTCCTGGTGCGCTCCACCTTCCGCCCCCTGTCCGCTTTTTCACACACACACATACACACGCACACGGTCCCGGGTGCCGGGGCCCTGCACCGTCGTCCAGGCAGTCTGCCTGCATTGCGTGCTCCGACTCTTACCTCTCCCCCCCCCTCCATCTAGGACGCCAATGCCGTGAACCTGTCCATTCCCATGCCCGGACACGCCTTCACCGAGGCCGACGCCCACCAGAACTACCTGCGCCTGTCGGAGCTGATTGCCAGCCACGATGTGACCTTCCTGCTGACCGACAACCGCGAAAGCCGCTGGCTGCCCACCCTGCTGGCCTGTTCGCAGAACAAGGTCCGTGGCCCGGCCCCCCCTGCACATGGTCTCCTGTCTGGCGCACGGCTGCTAACCTTCCCCCCTCCCCCCCCCTCTCTTCTACCCTGCTTGTCGAAATGCAGGTCCTCATCAACTCGGCCCTCGGGTTCGACTCGTACCTGGTGGCTCGCCATGGCGCGGCCCCGGACGCCGAGCCGCACCAGCCCGGCTCGCCGCGCCTCGGCTGCTACTTCTGCAATGATGTCATGGCCCCGACCGACGTGCGTGTCGCGCCCCTTCGCGCCCGGCGACACCCC